TTGCCAGGCAAGCACTTATTCTACTGAGTTACCTCCCTGGCCCCCTGTCTTAGCCTTGTGAGTGCTGGGATTAGAGGACCATCTAAAAAGACTGTACATTTTGATCTAGTCACACCAAAAAAGACCAGATGTATAATGTTCTCAACAATCTAATTTTTATTAACTATTTTATATACATTAATACCAGGTTGTAAAAACTGTTAAAAACATGCCAAGAATTTCTTACAGTGAACATACAAATTGCTCATTTATATTTTACACAAAGTGAAAATAAGATGATAGAATAGTTACAGCTACATAAAAATATGTACAAAGATTCAATACAGATTTTATTTGGCTTACAACACTATGTATAAATGCTATACACACAAAAAGGATGCAATTTTCAGAAAATGTGACCAAAACCCCTTTCTTTACAACTCAAAAATAAAATTGTTGACAATACTAATTACAACTGACAGCCAATTCTTGGTATAATTCCTACTGGACAGGTAAGTTAAACATCATACTCCCCCAACCCCCCCAGTGCTAGGGATGGAACCCATGGCCTAGAGAATGCTAGACAAACATTCTATTACTAAGCTAAACCTTCAGCCCAACATTGTGCTTGTGTACTGCAGGCAGGTTCTCACTCTTGTATTACAGGTTGCCCTCCAACTCTTGATTTTTCTGCCTCTGCCTCCTAGGTGCTGGAATTACAGACATGCCACCATGCCTGGAAATTATGCACTTAAAATGTAAGGCTTACAAATAAAAACATATACTGTTAACATTTGAAAATTAATTAAGAAAGGTTTGTCCATGTTCTTCCAGATTTTGGAAACACACTAGAAAAAGTGAATGGTGAAGACATGATTCTTTGGAAAATTATACTGGAAAACACTTTGAGGGTGACTCATTAATCAAACCTCAATGGGAAACTCATGATACACTAATAATACTCAGAATGAAGATATAAAGTAGTAAGTTGTTATACCTATTTTTATATGGTTTTACTAGCTCTCAGGGAATAGTAAGAATGACTGATTTCATGATAACCTCAAAAAAGGTACACTGTAATCCCAGCACTTGGGAGGCTGAGGTACGAGTGCTGTGAGTTCAAGGCCAGCCTGAACTGTACAGTGAAACTTTGTCTCAAAAAAAAAAAGGAAGACAGGTGTATCATGCATTATGGTGCTACCTTTTTTTTTTTTTTTTTGGTATTTTAGGCCAGGGTCTACAGGGTGTTCAAGGTCTCACTACTAGACAGGACTCGTAGTGATCCACCTGTTCACAGCCTCCCAAGAGCTGGGATTACAGGTGCGTGCCACCACGCCCAGTGTCAACTGTCCTCCTAGGGTGCCCTGGGGGCAGGGCTGGCACAGCAGGCCTGGGGATCGAACCCTCAGCCCCTGCACCTGCTTGTAGGCACTTCAATCCGCTGAGCTATTTAGCTGGCCTGGTGCTACCTTATTAAAGAGATTTAGTACATTCTTTTTTTCTTTTTTTGAGACGGTCTCATATATAGTTCAGGTGAGTCTTAAATTCAAGGTCCTTCTTCCTCAGTCTCCTGAGTGCTGGGATTATAAGAACATTTAATGTCTAATAATTTCATCTGAATTTTATTCTATTGGTTTGAGAAGCAGCTTCCTATTTTCAGAACTGCCTGGTTTAATACAGTAATCATATATAACTGTTAATACCATATATAAAAAAGTAGCTTAAAAAAAGAGTAAGTACTCTTTCACTGGTTATAATACCAGGCTAAGAGGCTCAAGCCTAGAGAGCAAGGAGCAGGGACGGGACAGGGCTCAGTACAAAGCTGCTCATGCTAAAGGAGAGGAGATAACTCACAACGGTAGTGGCAGCTGGATGTGAGGCTACCACAGTGCAGCAGGCATAGACTTGTGCTATCACCCTTGGCCCATGAACTAAGAACCAACCCCTAACTTCATTAGCAAGTTAAAAATATAAACACTCTCAAGAATATTTACTAAAATTAGATTATTTACCTTAATATTAGAAAGCACAGAAGATTTATTTTTAACAGAGAGCTAAAAAATCATGTTTCTCCTTTATTTATCTTAAAAACCCCAGGAACAAACACTTTTAAAATCCTGTCATGATTAGTATTTATAATGGCACTTAAAACATTCCTTTCCAATTCAATGCAAAATATGTCTGTCATCTATATTTTGAACAAATACAAAAAAGGGGCTTAATTCTGATGCAATTGTTCCTATAACCTAGTGATATTTACTATCTACAGAGCAGAAAGGAGAGAGCCCCCAACTTTCTGCAGAACCTGAAAGTGCTTTTATCAGAGATAAGAAAACATTAATGGTTTGCTCGTTCACTGACGACATCCTGTAGTCGTTTAAGTAAAACATCATCATTTTCTTGGCAGAGGCGTTTGGCAGGGGATTCTGCATCTCCATTGATGGCTATTGCACGTTTCTTGGTTCTCTGATCACCCTGCCTTATCATGTTGTTGATATCTTTCAAACTCTGCAAAATAGAGGACATGTATAAGACAAGGAGAAAATGGAAATAGCAAAGAACTAAGTTAACTGCATTTTCCTGTCTCTATCTTCTATCCAAATATAAACAATGAGATAGAGATAATTTTGAATATAGACAAGCCTAAAAAGGGTGGCTAGAGCTAATCTTTTTGGATAGTTTTAAAACATGGATTTACCTTATAGTAGTAGTTATAGAAATGTAGTCCTTAAACCAGAAGTAGTAAAGCATTTAGGAACTTTTAGAAACATAAATTCTCAAATCTCAAGCTCCAATTTCTGAACTAAAACATTCTGGGGTTGGGGATGGATCCACTTTTTTTCCCCCTGTATTTAGGACAGGGTCTACAGAGTCTCACTACATAGATTGGACTTTTAGTGATTTTCGTGTTTTCAGCTTCCCAAGTGCTGGGATTACAGGCCTGCATCACCACACCCAGTCTCCATCGCTGTCTCAGCGCACCCCGCAGGTGGGACTGGCACAGCATGAACCTCCCAGCTGAGCTCTGCCTAAGCAGGCGCTTCAGTCCACTGCTATCAGGCCAGTCCTGGTATGTTTGAAATGGTAATACTGGGGATCAGATCCCCAGGAGCACTCTACTACTTAGCCACATCAGCAGCCCTCTTTATTTTTATTTTGAGACAGAGCTTCATTAAATTGCCCAAGGTAGGGTCTTCTAGCCTCTTGCCTCAAGTAGCTGAGAAAAATGTATATGCCCCAGCATCTGACACAATGTATGTTTTATTGAGCCTTCCCAGTGAGTCTGATGCTCCTGTAAAGTCTGAGATCTTCCTCATAGTAATGCTTTTTAAACATTAATGTGTTTACTGATTATTTGTGGATCCTGTTAAAATGCAGTCATACTTAGCAGGACTAGTATGAGGGCCATCATTCTGTATTTTTGTTGCCTTGTTTGTTTTCAGTCTTTGATTTTATTGTATTTTTTTGGCTGAAAAAAAATTTTTTTTTTCTCACTTCATGTATTTGGTACAAGGTCTCACTACCCAACTCAGACTTGTAGTGTTCTGCCTATTTTTAGCCTCCCCAGCTCAGGGATTAGAGGCATGTGTCACCACGCCCAGACTCAGATGCAGGCTCAGTGCACCCTGGGGGTGGGGCTGGTGCAGCAGGTGGGACCGGGGATCGAACTCTAGTCCCTGAGCATGCCAAAGCAGGAGCTTAGTCTGCTGAGCTACCTCACCGGCCCTGAACTGGTTTTAGGGGAGGTTTATTTGTGATTCTGTATTTCTAACACTCTGAGTAGCAAGTTCTTTGAGAAGTGGTCCCTAAAAGCTGTGCATCACAGTCATTCAGGAAGACTGTTATAATGAGAGTCCCAGATATTTCGGCTAGCACTCTGTGATTCACCAGATCTGTGCAACAGGTATCTCAAAAAGCGGTGGCTTATGGTTTTAGAAGTCACTGGTCCAATCTTTGATCCTATGGCAGAATCTCTTCTACACATCCTTATAGGAAACCAATTTCTTTGAGAAAGGTCTAAATCACAGTCAACTTTCTTTGCCATGTATATAAGAAAACAAGGGGCACCTGTGGGACTGAGCAACAAAATAATGAGGTAGGGAGTGGCCACTGTATTTGGGCAAATTCTTCTAATTCATACCAATTCTGACTTCTAGAGACTTATCAAATGTACTTGACTCTTGATTATAGAAAACATGCCATAGCTAACAGTTCATATTTTATTAGTAACTTTACAAAAAAGAAAACAAGATTAATTAGTAATCTAAAATCCAAATTTTTAATATTTTTTTATTGTTTTGGCTGGCTCAGTGCACCCTAAGAGCAGGGCTGGCGCAGCATGTGTTGCCAGGGGTCGAATCACAGTGCCCTGTGCCTAAGCTTGCCTGAGCAGGTGATTTAAGATTGCTGTGCTATCTTGCTTGCCTTAAAATCCAAATTTTTTGTAAAGCAATCTAAAATCCAATTTTGTAGTTTTATCTGAAAATCTGTATAATAATCCAGTTTTTTTTTTTTTTTTGCGGTACTGGGGATTGAACTCAGGACCTTGCACTTGCCAGGCAGGCGTTTATTCTACTGAGCTGTCTCCCCGGCCCATAATACAGTTTTTAATACATATATGTGCATCTTTTGCACATTTATGCATCTCTTTTGGAGTAAAGTTTGTGTGCATCTTACCTTAGAAGGGCTCCCATTAAACTTATATAGAAGAGTGCTCCTCGGTGTAAGGCTGGATCCATTCTTATGTGGGGAAACATAAATGGAGTGCTGCTGGGAAACGCGGCGTGGTGAGCCTGCCTGTTGCTTAATATGTGGAAAAGGAGATAGTGGTGGGGCATCCATCTAAAATATTTCAAAAATCAGATTTTTAAGATATAAAGTTTTGTTCTTTTAAAAAATCCTATCATTCATATATA